CTTCTTCTTGGGCTCGCAGAGCGAGAGGTAGTCGTTCTTCTTGTTGCACTCAAAGTTCGGGTCCTTGCAGCACACGCCGAACGGCCAGTTCTGGCCGTTGCACTGGCTGTGGTTCTCAGCGCACTGGCCGCTCGTGGGCGCCTGCGTGGGACCAGCGGGTGCCTGGGTGGGGCCAGCCGGAGCCTGGGTAGGACCCGCCGGAGCCTGCGTGGGGCCAGCCGGCTCCGACGAGCCAAAGACGCAGCCCTTCGCGCCCGTCTTGATCGTCTGGCAAGTGGCGTCCACCGGCGCCACGCACTTAGCACCGTCCGCGTAGCTCTTCAGCGTCTTGATGCAGTCGGCAACGGCCACATCGCCCTTCTTCGGGCACTTGTCGCCCGCGCCGCCGCAGATCGCGCCCTCAATGCAGTACGTGGCATCGCCCTCGACGCTCACGTTGGTGCACGAAGCCTCCGACGCCATCGCGTGGCTGGCCGGCACGCACTGCGAGTACCACTCGTTCTGGGCCTTGCACGCGTTGCCGTTGCCGCAGCAGCTGGGGCCGGAGAAGCCCTTGCCGCCGCACTGGCCGTAGATCTTGGCGCAGCCTTCGTTGGGCTGGCACATGGAGAAGTACTTGCCGTCGAGCGGCTTGTCGGTCTGCTTGCAGAAGAGGCCCTTGCTGCAGCTCTCGTTGCTCGTGCAGGGGTCGAACTGCTTGCCCTTGCCAACGGCGGGGGCGTCGGTCGCCTTGGGCGCCTCCGTCGGCTTGGACGCGTCCGTTGGCTTGGGGGCGGTGGTCGGGCCCGACGCCGGGCGGTCACCGGGCTGGCACATGGAGAACGCCTTGTCGTCGGTGGGGCGGCAGAAGAAGCCTTGGTTGCAGTCGTCGTGGGTCTTGCAGACCTTGAACTGCTGCTGCGACGTGGCCGTCGCGGCCGCCGAGAGCGTGAGGAGGAGGAAGGCAGTCTTCATGGGGCCGAGGCAAAATGGAAAGTGATCTTGGGATGCACCGCGCAGCTGGCTATCATCTGGCGGCGCGTCGAACCCGGTGGCGCCAGGCGGCTGGAAAGGCCGGGACCGAAGTTCGAAGACAGTCTCATCACACGCAACCCATTCCGTCAGGCAGTGCAGCGCGCACGATACTCGTTGCATTTGAAAAATGTATGGGCGTACAGTGTAGGAAAATAGCCTCGTGTGCAGTATGTAGTAGGATGTAGCGATCAGCGCAAGCGGCCGCCATCTGCCCCACTCAAGCACCGTAAGAGCCATCTTCGTTGGCTGCGCTCCATGTCGCTCGAGGCGTTTCGCATGGCTGCAGTTGAAAACCACAGCTGCGATACTGGTACGCGTTTGCAGCGGATCCCGCGATGCACGCCCCTGCAGTGCACACGAGGATTCGCCAACATGCTTGGTCGCAGGGGATGGGCAGCCACGAGACGTTGCGTGCGTTCAGCCTCTAGATATCTTCGAACTTCGCTTGGACCAAGCAAATTTCCAAGGGGAAATTCCCTCACATCCAGTTGGCTTGTCGCTGCCCTCGAGGAGCGCTGGACGCGGCTTGCTACGCTAGATAGCACCACCGTGCTTTATCCTCATTGTCGTGGCGCTTGGTACATTCTTGTACGAGAGCTCAGGACCTTCTCCGGTGAATATTAACTTCTCCGACGGCACGTTGAAGCAGGCCGCGGCCTCTGATAGGTCCAGGCAAGGGTATACTCCCTGAAATCAGCGCTATGAGACCGTATGTGTCAACTTGGTTACAATCCAACGCAGTTGCCAACCAATCACAAGCGTCGACTTCATAAGTCCCGCCGAGATTTGCAGAGATTCGGGGCACCTGATTCATCCCGGCCACCGAATGCTTGCAGCTTTCCCGTACCGGTACGGACATGTGCGACCATACGAAGCTGCGAACGTTCGACGACTGGCCCCATCCCGAGTCCCTCCAGCGCATACCTCGCAGCACATCGTAGCTGCATCGAAGGCGCATTGTGCGAGGGGGCTCTTGCAGCTAATAGGCAGCTTTTTCGACCAAGCTTTGCCGCATGTCGGCGCAATCGCATGCGCGGTGGAATGAGAACCCAAGAAGTGGCAGCTCATTTTAGATTTCTTCAATTTTTGAACTTTTAGGAATTAATTTGTTGCCAAAAGATCCAATCAGGTTGAAGTAGCGTCGTGGCATGGTAGGCTGCCACGTCAGGAGAACGACGAGTA